GAATCTCCATCGTGGCAAACGGGTCGATCGGGTGCGTGTGCAAACATTTTCCGCGTGCGTTTTATTCGCGTGTGCGTGGAAAATTCGGGCGGCGCGGGAAGGGTGTATGAGATAACGGCGAGGGCAGTAACCGGGGAGAAGAGAATTTTCGTGTTGAGAATTTTTGACACGGAAAAAGAGAGAGACAGAGAACGTTCTCTCCCCCTCCGCTGTCTATTTCCGTCCTTTTGCTCCTCCTATTCTTCTGCACGTGTGCGTGAAGAATTTTTCAAACGGGAGATCCGGAGGAGATAAATGATGGACGACAAATCTCGCGTCAGTCTGATTTAAATCTCTATGTAAATTCTTCTTCAAAAAAAGAACGTATGCGTCGCGGCGACACTTTTAATCGATATTTCGACGACAACGTCGTCACTTTTATCGTTCCCGCCGATCCGCACGGAATATTTGTGCCACGGTTAAATTGCTGGAAATTATTCATCAACGACCGAATGACTCCTCAGGATTCCGTTCGAGGAGCCGGCTGCTCCGGAAAGTTGGAGAAGAGCGCGAGAATATTTTTCGGCCGCGCGTCTGCCCGTAAAAGCGTAGAGAATTCGAGACGAGATCGCCGAGCCGAGCGCTCGCGAGCGTGCGCGCGCGCACGCGGGGCCGTCGCACGTGCGTGCCTGCGTGTGTACGGGGAGGCTGTGACTCATCCTGTGGGAGAGGGAGAAAGAGCGAGTCCTGTTCCCGCGGCAGGAAACAACGAGTGGGGGGTGGGGATCGATATATCGACTCGAGAAACACTCCTGCCGTTAGCGGGAACTGCGTAGCTTCAAGGTCCTCCCTCATACCCCACCCCGCCGACACCAGCTCGCTCCTTCCTACGTTTTCCTTCCTCCTCGCACCCGCGGCTTTGCCACCCTGCGGGATGGAGTCGATTTTCGGGCGGAATCGCGGAAGAGAAAGAGAGCGTGCCGTTCGTTTGAATTTCGCGAGCGAAAAACGAGGTTTTTACAATCTACCATTTTTTCACGCCCGCGTTTCCTTCTCTTCCGGAAAAAGACGTTATCGTCCGGCCGACGGTAAACGTTCACGCGGGTTGTGAGTAACAACCTTGAATTCGGAGAATTGATATTTCCAAAGAAATAAATGTGAATTTTTTATATATTGTATGCGGAAAATGTGACTCGGCCGACAAATATCGTCTTACTGCCGAAGAAAATCATGCTAATTATAAATAATAGCTAATAATAGGTAATAACGTCCAACTCCGAGGAATGGATTTTCGAAGGAATAAACTTTTCGCAAATTATATATAATTTATAGCATTGAACGCGCGCTCAATATCGTTTCTTAAAAATGGTGACCTATAATACGGATAATCCAATTTTCTTTACGTACTATAACTATTGTATAGCCAATATTATGTAAAATAAATATGTTTACTCTAGGACAAAACAGAACTTTTTGGTTGATCTTTCTTTCGTTTTTAAGATTCTGAATAGGTTAATATACTGCTGATTAACTAGGTCGCTTTAAATTTAACATTCCACTAGGAATTTTCTTCAGTAGTAGCCCCTCATCATTTAAGCGCCTTCTAATTTCGACTCTTTCAATGGGACATGATGGTTCTTTTGGATAAACGAATGTATTAGAGTTTCATTTCTTTCATTTATTTTACTTTTTGTAAATCTTTCTATTTATTTCTTATTTATTTCCATTGTATGCGTTACTTTTCTGTATTACTATTTTCTGAATATTTTTGTATTATACTCGCAACCAAAAGACACTCCCCGTTTATCAATGTGAATAAGTAAATAAATAATAAACGCAACTCGATCACGAAAATCGCGCCAATTCGATTTAAAGGGATTTTGGAGTCGTCCTTTGTTTTACCGCAAATTTGTCAGTATTATACACTGCGAATCCAAGTGTTATTTTAACCAAGGTTTTCCTTACATATTTCTTGCCATTTTAAATCCCGTCGTTCAATACGATTAAGGGTTTTAAATGAACGTAATCTGAAACGGCAAGAAAAAGAATTTCAGTCAAATATCTCATTTTTAGACGCTTATGAATAATACACTTAGATTTGCAGTGCACTCGTTACTGACTGCACATAATAATAATTAAAAATCCTTTTACACAATTATAAAACACACGTTAATGTTGGCGAGGACTACTGACTTTACTCGATAAAGGAAAAAAAAAGTTTTATAATTTGTTAACCTTTTTCGTTTTTCGAATAAAGTCAACTATTACCGCCTACATTAACGTGTGTATTGTCATCGCAAAAGGATTTTTAATTCTGTACGAGTATAGTATTGAAAAGTTTTCGGTAAAACAGGACGATTCCAGAATTCCGTTAACGCCAGACAACACGAATCCGGCGGCGTTGAACGACGCGTTGTTGCACGCGGTTTCGTTACATCGGGATCGATGCATTTTTCAGCGTCGTGTCGATGGCACGAGACCGTCGCATTATTTTGCCGTGACGAGGAGAATCGAGCGGGTTGATTGGCCTGCCGTCAGATAACCCTGAGCAACCGAGAATTGTATCCGGTTATCGTGCGGTTATCGCTTTGGCGAATAACGCAAAAAGCATTTGCAATGCATTCTCGAGCGCGAGCGGTTCGATGACGACGACGAAAGTTGCGAGCCGAGCAAAGTCGCTGCAGCTAACGTAACCGAACCCTCGTCCGCGACGAAACGGATCCCCTTTCTTCTTTCCCTTTTCCACCCGTCGTCCGCTCACGTTCTCCCGCTCGCACTTTGACGGGCTTCCGTTGTTTCGATTTATCGAGAAACCGGAACCGAAACGCCGGTGCTGTTCGCCATCGGCTGCTTCGTCCGACGCGGAATGATACCGCGGAATTTGCGTTTCGACCCTCTGTTTGCGTCGGGTTGAACGATGGCGTGATAAAATATCAAATTCACGCATCGTGGATTTGCGTGATGGAAAAAATTCAGAAATACCGCATCGGAGATTTCAGCATCAAAGAGAAGGACGAATGTAAGGTCGGTCTGCGGGTGAAGCGAACGAAAAATCCGGCGCGCCGCAGCGGGTCGATGATCCACGTGTTTATGAGAAATCGGGTCAAAACAAGGAGGAAGGCGATAAAAATCAGGCCAACGGCAGCAGCAAAGGGGGCAAGGGAGGAGAGACGAGAGAGTGGATACAGCAGGTGTGCGATGAACTCTCGAGGGCAGAGTCCTTTCGCGCGAACGAAAGGAAAGACAGAGCGGGGCCGGCCGCTCCTTCCCCTGGGATAAAGAGGGTGTTAAGTCCTGAGGAGGGGGAGGAAGATTGTTGTGACGGCGTCGCTGTACACACCGGAGAGTCTTCGACTCCTGGCGATCTATCATCCCTTTTCTCCCGTGCCGCGCGACTTTCGACGTCGCCGGAAATAGTCGCGCGATTCGCTGCCGAACTTTTCTTTTCCTCCTCCTCTCTCTCTCTCTCCGTTTCATTTGAGGAACTCGCGGTCCTCTCGAACGGCGATTAGATGACATCGGGAAGCTCCGGCAAGAAGCGACGCGCCGCAACGATCGGCGAAAACGCTAATTGATAAGTGGCGGAATGTTATCGGAGAGAACCGGCGCGGCGTTGTCGGGGCGAGACGTGCGTGCGTGCGTGCGTCGATCGGTGCGCGTGTCGCCGGCAAACAACACGTCCGTTTCTGAACGAGACGAAGTTCGATACGCGATTATTATGACCCGCGGTGAGCCTTGAACTTGCCCTACGATAAGCGCGGCCGTTTACGAGTCGCTCTCTCTGTTGCTGCGCGCCTCCTCTTCGCCGGCCAACAATCGCCGCGCGGCGATACCGCGCATCCTCGCGGCGTTGACGATTGTTGTTTAGCGTTCCCGAGCTGTATATGTAGCGAGAAAGATTAGTTTTCACGGCTATTTTTGCATCAACGAAAAAAGAAAATACGAGACATAACTACTGAGAGGGCAGATTATTGAAAACGGGTGGGGTATCGATATTTTTTTTCGAGCAGGGTGCGATGTGATATAGCCGGCTACTCGATCAGGCTTGATCAAACGCGACATCGCGGAGGTAGTTCGACGCCATCCCTAGTAGCGGTAGCAGCTGAACAGCCAGCCAGTCAACCCACCAACCCCCTATTCAATGTCGCTACAATAATAAACCACCTCGGTTATCTGTATTTCTGTATTTCCCTCTGGGATTCTCGGCACATTCAGGCATCGAGGCCAAGTTCATGCTATATATACGCCGTTCTATAACGGCATTTTGTCTGTGTTTATACCTTTCTACGGCCGTAGTACGGCGTAGTCGCGCTGTGTCTCTATCGGGATTTCGTAGAAGGCGGTCGCCGTATGGAGAAACCGACGCGCGGGTTTCTAGCACATCGGTGCGGCAGCTTTTCGGGAAACCGCGCGTGTTTCACGCTTAAAAGATTCGCCACAGGCGAACGAGAAAATTCGAGAACCACAGTGTGGCATATATATATATATATATATATATATATAATCAGTGGAAGAAAGGTTACGTTATTTTCCTCTATGAGAAAATATTGAGAAAATATAATAGTACAAATTATTACAGAAGTTTGTAATGCTGGATTATATCGGAATTGTTATCGAAATTATGATGTGTGTTGTAATCTTGTAATCTTTAGTGATGTGTGTACATGATATACGTCATAAAAATTACGACACATCATAATTTCTGTCATAATTTCGGTAAAATCCGGTATTACAAAATCTTATGGTAATTTTTACCGCAATATTTTCTCCGTGTAACCCTGGAATGGCCGCATTGGTAAAAAAATGTGGTGTTGACCGAAATGTTACGTTAACATGAGAAATATATTAACAGATATGTTCAATCAACATACTCATCTTGTTAAAGTAACAGAAAAATTCGGACGGAGTGTTGGAATATTCCTTTTATCCTCTCTAGCAAATCTCGCGATCGAGGCGAGCAAACGTTCGTTTCTCTCTTCCCTTTTGCAGGGGACGGAATCGTCGGCTTAGCGTAGACTCACCTTCTTCTCGGTGAGCTTCTCGCACCGCCTCATCTTACAGATCTGATGACTCTTGTCGTTCCGGCACGGCGCGCAGTCGCCGCAGTTCTCCTTGCGCTGGCAGCCGATGCACTCGCCGCATCTCTTTCGCTTCTTCTTCGCCGGCTTGTCCCCGAGGCCGCCGTCGCCGTCGCCGTCGGTCATGCCGCCGCCGAGATGGTGGACGCCGCGATTCGCGGTGGAAGACACCGCGGCTACCTGGCCGGAACTCTCGACGTTCCCGGCGCCCCCTCCGCCTCCTCCTCCTCCACCGTCCTCCGACTCCATAGAGCCCGCGCGGATTTTTCTGCGCTCCTTCTTGCGGCCGTCGATGCCGATCGGTCTCGAGGTCGGCGAGGAGTCCAGCACAGTCGACATCGGATTCTGGAAGTTCGCATGGTGCAGCTGCGGATACTCAGGCTTCACCACCGTCAGGACCGTATGGTGAGGGTGGCCCGGCGGCGGTGGCGGGAACGCTTGCACCGGGCTGGAACCCAGCAGCTGTATGTGACGTTCGTCGAGTAGCTGCTGCTGGAGCGCCGGCACCTCCCGAGCCTGCACCGGTGCCGGTACCAGCGGATAGCCGATCGAGCCGCGATGCGTGTGCGGCACCGGTAACGGCGTGCCCAAGGTGTGGAAGCTGGGCAGGCCCACGGCCGATGTGACCGGCGGTGAGTGCGACATGGACACCGGCGACAGCGGGGTCAACGCCGTCAACTGTGGCTCGGCCTCGCTCGGGGCGGTGAATTGGCTGGTGAAGCTCGGCAGCTCCGTGCTGCAGCCTTTCGACTCCCACGGCCGGTATTGCTGGTTCGCTATATCACGGGAGTCGACCAGCCGACTCGTCAGGCCCTCCGTGTAATATTCCCAGGGCGGCAGGCTCAGGCTGATATCCTGCGGGTGGAGCGTCGTGAGTGTCGTTGAGGTGTCCATCGCATCGCCGAAGCTGCTGCTGAACGGCGGCAGACCGGGCGGCACCGCGCCCGGCGAGGTCGCGATCGCCGCCGGAGGGCTCGTCGGCACCCTCTCGGTGGCGACGACCTCCTTCGTCACCTCGGCGCTCATCCTCCTCGCCACGTCATCGCGAGTGTAACCTCCGCCCGTGAGCTCCCCGTGAGACGCGTAGCGTCCTCGTCGGCCCGATTCTTCTCTCTCTCTCTCTCTCTTTCTTCCTGATTCGACGAATCGGATGATCGTTGGATCGCTCGAGACTGCGGATTATTTCATCTCCGCCGCACGAATCATCGACGAGATCCTCGCGGGAGACATTTGCGCGCTCTCCTCTCTCGCGACCGGTCCCAGCGATCCTCTATAGTTCTCGTTACTGAATCAAGCCGGATTTGAAGGGTCCGGTTCTTTCGGCGCGGACATCGCGTCGTCCGTGGACTAACATGTCTCGAACGCGTCTTCGACTCACGGCGATCGCGATGCTCCGGATCTCCTCCGATTTTCGGGGTGCGTATCACGATTCGTGTATGTTTCTTCCACACTGGCGCGTACTCTTCCAAGCTCGTATTCGAGATGCGCTCGTCCAAGGCTGCTTCCTTGATCTTACGCTCTCTCTCTCTCTCTCTCTCTGTGTCTGTCTATCTATATCTCTAGCTCTGTGTCGTTTTGTACTCAACAGGTTTAGGCTACGAACTGAAGTAGATCGGTTGCTCCGGGAGTGTTCAAGCGAAATCCGGTTGACTCTCCTCCCTTTGTCTGGTTCTGCTTCCTCTAGCTTGGCGAAAATCTGTCACGTGACGCGTCCAGTTTGAAAGATGCACTTACTTTTTACGGCTATCTCTATAAACCTCTTTATAGCTTACAAAACTGTACCGGCTCGTTTAATCAAAAACGGCTCTGACGAAGGAATCAGTGTGTGTCTTACTATTTATCTCGCTTGACGAGAGATTAATTGTTATACTTGATGAATGGTTAATAGAAAAAATGGTAGATTCTTTGGTTTACGGTCTTGCTTTCGCGCTGCATTTATTCTCTCGTTCTCACTCTTCCCCCCTCTCTCTCTCTCTCTCTAACTCTCCGTTTTGCAACGATTACTTTTACCTCGCTCTCCACTGGATTTGGCACTGGCGGACTTGTTTGTTTTAATCTGTTCTTGTATTTCTCCCTTCGTTAGAGATATACTTTGTACACTTATTAGATAATATAGCTCTTAATCTTTTGTCTTCTTCTGAACCTAAGCTCTTGGGATATCTTTTTTTGTTTTGTTCTTCCTTTACGTCGATATAAACATACTAATTACTTCTTTCGCGCTTCGTAAGAAAATAGAAATCACTTGAGGTTAATGTGGCTTGTTAGAAGGCGGTTGATTTGTACGATCTGAAACAGAGAAGCAAAAAAATTCGCACGTTAGAGAATCTCGCTGGCTCTTGATCGTAAGGAAAGGGTAAAAATAAATTTCAAGTACTACTATAGATCAAGTCGTTTCGTCGCAAACGAGCCGTCGCGATATCGAAGGCGAAAAATTCAATGAGAAAGAAACGAGATACGTGGATTAGCGAATGTGTTATTATACGTCACGTGAGCGTGAGCGCGCACGTGACGCGGGACTATGTGAGAATGTGTCACAGACGTTGCTTATAACGTGACCATCGCTAAGCCAAGGCTACTATTACGTTCGGTGTGTTCGCACACCGCTCGCTTTGATACCCGCTAGCTGTACGTATGTTGCGCGTAGCTGTTTCATTCACGCTGCTTAGAAGTCTGACGATGGCTTTGAACTCGTATCGCGTCGTTTCAAGTTGAGCAACTTGATCGAAGAGAAAGAGACGCTGCTGACGGTACGCAAACGTACAAGCCCATTTTTTGTCAGTAATTTTAAAAATCGATGATATTGTATTTTTAAATGTATCTACACAGAAATCAAGTTTTAGAACCAAATAGACGTAATTACATATTTTAGAGCCTTTTAAAACGAGCAATAATTTTATCAATTTAGATATATCTTAATGGCTCGTAGTAAACATTTACTTTAATGCAGTAATACCTTAATAGTAAATGAACTATTGAACGTAAGTATATCGTTCTAAGTTTGAGAACAATATTTCCTATAATTATGTAACAATTATTTTCCACCGGAGAAATTTAGTGTTTTATATTCCGAATTTTTGTCCACTAAATATTTTCTGAAATAAAAATTTGGGTATTTCTTAATATTACGTATTGAATATCTATTAGATTTAATTTAACATATATGTAAAGAACGTAGTTTTATTTCATCAAAATTGTCACTCCAAATATTTGCCTGACTTATTTGCACCCGCGAGAGTTTCGCCACCATTGTCAAAAATCGCCAGCAGACCTGCGCAAAATATCGATCGACATTTACTGTGCGCTGCTCTTTTCCTCCCATTCGTCTTTTCTCTCTTTCCTTCCCGCAACCCTAACCCGTCGACTTCTACCATGCCAATTCTTTCGCAAATTGGCGAAAACAGCGCGGAATTACATCGTTTATTCAACGAAATTAAATACAGCATTTCTAGACATAAATGAAAAAGCGGCTTTCGAGAGAGGAAAAAAATTCCGCGGGAAAAACTGTTTCGTTTTTCGCGTCAAATCACCCCATGTATATAATCTACACGTACAACGTACACATGCACACGTATAAGCACATCGCAAATCCAAGCGTGTAATTTTTAAACATTTATATCAAATCGTGTAGTGACGTTTTACGCATATTACTTTGCTGTATGTTTCATCTGTGTATTTCACGTAGTTACATGACTGTATATTTTACATGTTTACGTATTGAATTACACATTTTAAACGTGTAAGGTTTTCATATTTCTTTATTCTCTTTTATCTTCTATAACAAAAAGTATGTATTAATAATTATCTACAAATATATTGAATTTTATGGATAAAATGTGTCTTTCAATATATACTTTTATCAGGAAGATTCGGTGTTTTTTTTTTAATTCCGGAAAACATTAGAAATTAAATATTGATTGGAGAAAAAGTTCTTAACGTTTCTACTGAACTTTTCACCGAAAAACGCTAAAAACGTTTTTCTTTCCTAATCTAATACACATTTTCCCCTAATTACACATAAAACTCAAAACTCGTATAAAAGATCCTAAATGTAGTTTTATATGCGCACATTTTACACATTAATTGGAAGTATACATTCCTTCATTTTCACACACTTTATACTATGTATCGTGTTCCGTACGATGAAATGTTTTAAATTATCTGTTTAAATGTGTAAATGGAATTTTTTTATGTGGTAAAGTATAATTTCTACACACACAAAAAATCATGTCACTCACGTAAACGTGTGCCGCACACTTGGATTTGCAATGCACATGCGACCGTAGTGGAAGCTATCGCGAAGCACGCGGGGACACGTAACACAGAAAGCAATAGCTCTCGCTATGTAGCGGTTTTCCACCCCCGCCTCCGCCGGGCGTTTTCCGCCCCCGAACTCTAATAGCTTTACAGCTGTGACCGCCGCCGCGGCTGGTGTGCTTTCGCTATCGCTGGAAACTTGCACTGTCGTTCAGCCGGCACTTTCGCTCGCGGCTTCGACCTTGCGCGGAGATGCGACTCCACCGTTTCACGCTGTGTGTACGCAAGAGATATACCGTTCATTCCCGCGTTTACACTTGCCGATTGTACGCGATTCAATGTCCGACGCAGTTTTGATCGATGCGCAAACGGATTATTATACGGAGGTGCGTTATCTGGCAAAATTGGGCAGCGATTATTTTTTCTCATACGCTTCTCCTCGACGGTCCCCGTCTCGGCGATTGAACTTTGTTAATGTCCATAAATCTTGTCTAGACTGAATACCGCGAACTTTAATATTTAAAGGTCGCGAATCTCGGTGCGTCGATAGCGCGAGCATTAAACTCTGGGTAGTGGCGTTGTTCTTCGTTCAGGACCACTTTGTACGAGTGTGTTGAGACATGGAATAATATCGGCGGAAATAATCTGACAATGATATTCGGAAAATCGTTTTTCCATAAAATTAATAAATTTAACATCGTTAATCGCAAATTACTATGTTCGAATGTTCGAAAATTTACTCAGAGTAACGATTATTTTCCGCGGGCGCTAGCTTAGAACTGGTCGAAAAGTTGGTGAGAAATGTCATATACGTTAAGAATAATGTAATTCGATCTCTGTCATTACGCGTCAAGAGACCTTTCTTCGCGACACCCGTTAGCTCTCCGTCTCCGGCTGCACTTTCGTCGAATCGACCGTAGATGCATGCACAAAAATTCAATACCACCGTCGCGTATCCCGTACAGGGTGGCCTAAAAGTACGTTCATTAGCAGTTAAGGCCAGTCATGCTCCAAAGTAATCGTATCACACCGCAGAAAGGCGTAAACATAAAAATAACGCAGATTAACTATTTCGTAGCGATCTTTCATCTTTTCGAACTATAAGATCACTACTGGTGAAGATTTCGATTCATTTCAAGAGGAGGAATGTGAAAATTCCTACAGGAACAGAATGCAAGCACGGTGACGGGACACCTTTTTCGGGACACTCCGTATAGACGCGATAGAGTGAGAGAGAAGGAGTCGTTGGCGGATTCTTTCGTTCGCGGCGAAGCGCAGGACGCAAATTCCGAGAAGCGCATATAAACCAGCTGCCATAGAGAGCCGGGGATTCCACACGCTTGGAATTAATATTAGCCGCGCGTCGCTAACGGAAACCGTCGCCGAGAAAAATCGCACCCGCTCTTTCGATTCGCCGGGCTTCAACTGTCGTTCGCCGCGAAATTCCGCGTCGGTGTTCCTCATGCGCCTTACAGACGGATAGGGAAGAAGAAGGGAAGAAATTTCGCCGATCTTTATTATATATTGAAATTCACGATTGCCCGTCGGAAAAAGGAATGCGATCGCGAGATACTCTCGCCGTTATTAACTCCGTCCTGGAGGAGCACGAGACGCGCCGTCCGTGCATCAGGAAAGAAAAGGAGCAAAGTGGCTCACGCGCCATTTTTGCCGCGGCGTAATGCCGGAATTAGCGCGATGCCACCGCGAAAAAGCGGATTAACGCGCAAAGGAACGAGGCTCTCCGGAGAATTTCAAGACCGCGCGCGCTAACGGTCGTCCGCATCGAAATTATACACGGAATTATAATTGAAATACTTACGGCGCTGTTAAACGAGACCGTTTGAAAAGAAACCGAGGAAGAAATGGGAAAGGAAGGATTTTCGTATCCACGCTTGCGGATAGATCCTCCGCTCGATTCAAAAAGCGATATCTCGGGTAGAAACTCTAGCCGGAGCATGTCCTCGAAAGCGCTGCGGACGAACGGGCCCCGCGCACGAAGGGCCGGGCTGCGTGTGTACGTGGCACATCCGTGGGACCTTGAATCAAGCGGCCTTTGTCGCGCGAGAGAGTGAGAGAGCTTGCCCGGCTCGCTTGCGCCCGGGCACCGCGAGGTCGGCGAAAGCGTACCCGAAGCTTCTTTTTTGCTCGCGGCTCCGCCGCGAACGAGCGAGCGAGCGCCGCTCATTTTTGCCCTCTTCCTTCTCGACGGAGCGACGGAAACGGACGTAAGATGCGTTTATTATTAGATTTCGACTCGCCCGATTCTGCTCCT